AGCATCAGCTCGTGCTGAGTACAATACAAACCTTCCCAACCCCAGGGGCACGTGGGTGGGTCAGTCGTTAAGCATCTGCCTTCGGCTCAGGTCATGGTCCCAGGGTCCTGGGATCGAGTCCCGCACTGGGCTCCCTGCTCAGCGGGAAGAATGCTTTTCCCTGTTCCACTCCCCCTGCTTGTGTTCCCTCTCTTGCTGTGTGTGTCTCTCCCTGTCAAGTAAATAAAATCTTTAAAAAAAAAACAGAACCCTTCCCAATCCCTAACATGGTACAGGCGTTACAGGCTTTTGCTGGTTGACCAGAGACCTTTTATTCCCCATCTAGTGCTGAGATTAGGGCCTGTAGGTGCCTCGGTTGAGAAGGGAAGCCAGTGGGGTCAGGGTACTCATCCCCAAGAGGCTTTCTTACGGGTGAACATGGTAGTTAGACAAGTCCAGGCCCTGGGGTGCAACCCCCAGATGAGAGCGGGGAGCTCGGTGTAGGCTCATGTCCAGGAGGGTGTGGCTGGGGCTGGCGGCAAGGACACAGTGGGAGACCCATTCCAGTTACTCGCATCAGTTCAGTAAGACTGTTTTGGGAACACCGGTTATGTTGCTGAGGCTTTGAGTGGAAGGCTGTGTCTGAGAGCCATGTGTAGGCGGAGCCGACCAGACAACTTTAAAAACGACGGGTGGACTTTATGGACCCAATGACACCCCCTGGAAAAAACTGGCCTGGTACCTGGCTTCTAGGGTTCCCAGGGGGCCTGACCGGGTGAGTAAGGAAGGTCACTGCGTGGCAGGCACACGAACCTCAGGACATTTGGGGCACCTCAAGAAAGGAAGTAACCCACAGGAGAGTGTGATAGCAAGCATTTGGCTGGGCTCCTAGCCTTTAAAAAAGGCTATTAAGGGCTCACTGTGAAAGTCCTTACAAGTTTCAGCAAAGCAGACGCACAGGCCTCCACGGGGCTTCGAGGCACGGGGCTCCTGCCGGCCTTGCTGTTGGAGGTTGTAGGGCTGCCGGCTCCCCGCCAGAGAACGGCCAGGAGGATGCCGATGCCCCAGGGCTGGAGCGCTGGCAACGCTCCGCCCCGTCTTGTCTCCCTCCGGCCTGGGATCTCCCCACCCTGCACGTCACTGTCACTGCTGGGGGCAGCGGTCCAGACTGGTGAGCGCCGTACGGAGCCCTGCACAGCCCCGCCGCGAGTCACCCTGCGCAACTCTGGCTCAACGGCTTGGAGCGGCTTGCCTGCGGGTGCTGAAGTGCCTTCTCAGTCCGGAGGATGCCTTACGGACCCTCCTCTGCCTTCTACCAGGGGAGAGTGAGAAAGCAGCTGTGGGGGACAAGGGGGGACCCAAAGTCCTGTTTTTTAGGGTGGGAAAGACACGGCCAGGTCTGTAGGCTGCTGGGAATAAGGAAAAGAAAATCGAGTGACACCCCTGGAGAACGGGCTGTCTTGGGCACAGTGGCTGGGGGGAGGCTTAGCAGCGCAGAGTTCCAGACTCACTAATCCAGAGAGGAATGCATGTGGGGCCTCCTTTGGTCACTAGGCTGATGTTCTCTCGGGTGCTTGAGAAGTCGCGCAGCCAGCGCAGCGTCCAGAGAGGACAGGGAGCGTGGCTGGGGCACCGCAGGGTCCGGAGGGGAGCCGGTGAGACCTCTAGGAGTGGCGGGGTGCAAAATCGGGATGTGCGGTCTGCGGAGCGGCATTCAGGGCCCATGACCACGGTTACAGCAACCGTGAAGCAGGGCTGTGGGGCACAGGGGACAGACCAGTAGGCAAATGCTGCCCTGCACTGGTGTTTTTGCCCTGTGTTGAAACCAACCCCCCCGCACGACGTGAGCAAGCCGGGAGCTGCAGTCCCCACCGGGTCTGAGCCCAGGAGTACGAAATGCCTACAAGAGGAGGGGGTGCGGACAATGTGTGGGACACCTGCCCCGCTCCAAACGCTGAAAGAAGTGTCCTGGGCGAAAGCTAAGTCATGTTCAGAAGGCACAGGAACTTGTCAAACAAGGGGCTGGAACATGACCATGAATTCCAGAGGCTCCCTCTCACCGTGGATGAGAGGGATGGAGTCAGAGAAAGCAATCTCCAGAGGTCCTATCCAAGTCTGAAAGAGGAGGGGGACGGGGGCCCTAAGCTGCCTGCCGGTGGTCCCGGCTGTGTCCAGGGGCAGGTTGGGGGGCGCTGCAGGCCCTGGGTAACCCCGGTGCGGAGGGGTCCCTCTCACCACAAAGCCAGGGGCTCTTCGTGGACACAATCCCTCAAAAATTTTACAAGCTCTAGTTGTCACCCTGGACTTTTCAGGAACTGGGCCGGAGAGTACACAACCAGGGCTATACCTAGCCCTTGAAATCTTGTGTCTGGAGGAGGATACCACCAATTCTGTGAACTTGAATCAAACCTTGATATAGAAACGTAATCTGAAGATTTGTGCCACAGCATCAGGTTGCCTTTGCTGCTGGAAAACAGACTATGTGACACAGAGAACAGAACCTCCAGGAGAATGCTCAGAGCAAGTAGCTGTGTGCTCCAGGAAATGCCACAATCTATGAACTAGAACACGCTCTCGGAGGGGTGAGGGGAGAGCCTGGGTCCACCCCCCAGCCCAGCCCCATCCCCACTGTGCTGAACATCTGCAGAGCCCCCCACCAAACCACAGGGTTACCTCAGGGACTTCTGAGGCCGAGGAGTCAGGCTGGGAAGGAAGAGCCTTCCAGGATACAACTAGTGCGGATTTCTATTTCAGTCCGTTTCTGCTGTTGCTTGAAAGCTCTGCAGCGGACTCCCGCACGGGCGCTCTGCTCTCTCTGGGGCTGGATGCAGCCGCCACGGGCAACCAAGAGCTGAAGAGCTGACCACCCTGTGCCCTCCGTCTTCTGGGTGTGCCCCCCCCCGGACGTTCCTGCAGGGAGCTGTTCCTTCACCCATGTCCCCATGGGCACCCTACCACCTGCACATGAGCCAGACCCGACCTATCCGGGTATCACATCCCTCTGGTTCTAGGAGGTGTAGACCGCCAGGGTGTTCCTTCCAAGGGGGTGAGGTGGACACCTAAACCTAGACTCTGTGCCCATCGGTCAAAAACAACGAAGAAGGCAGAACCAAGAGAGAGCCCCCACATCCTCTTGTCAACCAGACTCTAGATGTCTTCTCAGCTGGCATTTCCCGAAATTCCCAGAAAAACCATGTGGGACGTGTCTAAGGGACAGTTCGGCTGGTATCTTCCAGAGAAGATTGGAAGATACTGATTCTGCGTCTGGCACGGGCCCAGAGCTCACAGTTATTACAAAGCAAACGGGGTGATGTTGAACAGATTCAATCCGGGAACCCTGCCTCAGAGGGAAGGAGTAAGTCAATCCATAACCCTTCTGGCTGAAACTAACTTGAGCAGGTTTTCTGTTCCTCACAGCCAAGTCTTTGACTTGAGTGAGGGTCTCCTGACTACTGCAACTTTTCCAGATTACATTTACCAATTCTTCATGGTTTTGAAGACATTAAAACCTTTACACTTTAAGAGATAGTTAAAAAACCTGCTAGGAATGGCACTTCAAGAACTTAAAAGCTCCTGACTAGCTCTACAAATCTATACCTAATAGCCCAAGCCCACCATCCATGGCTGGCTGCGGTAGACTTCCTCATACCCCTTCTCAGCAGGACAGCCTCGAGCAACTTCCGTCAAGGCATCTGGTCTCTGGCACTCTTCTGAAACCTCCCATTTCCTGTTCCTTTTCTTTTCGAGTTTACAGCCCAAGTAGGTTAAGGAACCTGGGCTAATAGCCAACGGCAATGTTAACAACAGTTATTAGCTTGAAGAACTAAAAGGAAAATAAAATGGTTTTCATTCATGTTAATGAGTCTAAGTCCAAAAAGCCTTTATTTGATAAGACCCAGTATAATGATGCTAAGATGAGAGGGGTTTATGTTGGAGCACTAACGTGCACACGCATCACATTTACAAGCAATGCTTAAAGGGGTTCTCAAAGTAGTTTTACTCATTAACTGCAAGCCAGCTCTTTGCAAAATTTCCTGCAAATTCCTACAACTATGTCCACATGAATAACTGCAATCGTCAACATCCCGACAACTTACAAACTCAAACTACGGCTCTCCATTCTTGCCCTATGAATGCTGCAGCAGGCAGCTGACACTGAAGTTCAAAAGTAATGCCAATTTAGCTTTTCTAAATGGAACTGTACCCTTCTGACAGAGTACGCCTTCCAGCATTTAAAAAAGTGCATTAAATGCATAAATTACGTTTTCAGTAAAAACAAACTACACTGTTAGTGAATAAGGTGAGAATCCAATTTTATTTTATAACAAGTAGAAGGATGTCCCCGTTGCAAACAAAATAAATAGTAACGTTAATATAGATTATTGGCCTCTTTTGTCAAAGAGTCTTAAAATGTTTCTTTGGACAGAAATTTAAAACTTTTCAACCATCTTCTTTTAACCCCCATACCACCTAACCCCAAAATGAAATAAAAAATTAGCCTACTTCTCCATAGTCTCCTACCATTCCCGTACCTTGTACAGGTTATTCAATGGCAGCTTTTTATCTTTAAAATAGATCAGATACCCAAATAAAACCCTACCTTCCAGCTGTAGTGAGGTTCCCACTTTACGCCTTTCTCTCCTTCAAATTAAAAATATTTCAAAAAGATGAATTAATATAGGTTTACAAAGTAGGATTTGCTCACTCCTGAACATTACTTTCAAGTACATTCTCACTTTTCAAATAGTTCATAATACAAAGTACCTTATCCACATTTTTTTTCAAAACAATTCTCACAATGTATTTGAAAAGCCAACAAGATGAAATATAAAATTTTAATTTTTACTTATAAGCCAGTCACAGCAGCAATGCTACAAACGAGACTCCAAATCTCCTAATTCTCTTCCCAAGTTTCATTTCTAGAAAGATAAGCAGCTAAAAAAAAAAAATAAAAGCTTAAAAACCCCCGAAGCTGCAAGGTCAAACAGAAGGAGCGGCTGCACGTCGTTTTGTCCCGCGGGTCAGAGGTAGTAGAGGCGGTTGGACAGGGACAGGTTGGGCTCCCTGTGAATGCTCTGGCCCACGAGGAAAGCCAGCTTGTGGGCGTACTGGCAAGGAGCAGGGACGCGAATGACGCCCTTGAGTGGAAGAAACACAGAGCTGTTACTCTCCTCTCAGTACTCACTAGAAAAGCCTCTGAAAACAGAGCAGCTCCCGTTTCAAAAAGTGAAGCTCACCCGTGTGAGCCCACGCCCCCAGGGAGACACACTTACTGGCCAGTTATAGTAGACGTGACACAGTTTGTATGTGAGCCTCTGTATGTGGTCCGGCTTCAGGCCGCTGCTGTCGTAGATGACGTTATAGTGCGTGGGGGAAACACTGCCACTTCTCACTGCCTGGCTCACGATAAAAAAATCATACCTGGAATTCCAAGAGAAAAGCCACATGGAAGAGAGGCTTACCTGTCTGAAAGCGGAAGTTCACACGGGTCCCGTTTCTTACAGTGAAAAGATCCTGTATTCTAATGGAAGCTAACCTCTTCAGAATGAAATGTGCTTCCTTCAAGTCCAGAACACTTGTTGCTCATGGACAATTCTGGAATGCTTATGTGACCAAGGTTTCAGAAACCACTACTCCTGAGATTTTAAATACATGTCACTGATGCCCCAGGGCATTCAATATGTGCTTGGGCTGCCAATCACAGTGGTGTCCTCGAGCCATGCACGGCTGGTGGCCTGCATCCCGTGGGGCACGCTGGGGTGCACAGAGGTCCTGGAGGGCAGCAGCAGCGGGGAAAATTAGAGCAGCTCTTGTTTCAGGCACTGCTGTTCCCAAGATATGCTTTTACCACAGAACCTTCCCCCTCTTGCTGTTCCCACTGTTACTTAACAAAAACGTACTTCACTTTAATCATTAAGGATGCAAAGTAGGTTCTTAGAGGACTTGAGAACCTCCAGGGACAGAAGCAGAACTAGTGCAGGACCCAAGTGGTAAAGCAGACACCAGAACTGCAAACAGAGGAACAGGACATCCGTTTTTCCCGCTGTCTGGGTAGCAGGAACACATGGATCCAGAGATATGGTCACCTGACCTAATAAAGCTATAAGGAAATTACCCATGCAACTTGCTAGGTTCACTGAAACTAGACAAATCAGAACACCACGGTTGACCTACAACATATTAGTGTTTTAGAAGCAGAAGGGTTTCAGACACATGAAACCACTTGCCCTAAAACCGCAGAGAACTCACAACAGAGTTGGAGTCTGAGTCTCAGTTCCCGGCTCAGGCACACTGGCATCCAGAGTGCCGGCAGTCCAGAGGGACTGCAGCCCTAGAGGGGGGGCTTCTCCGGACGCAGGTAGAGCCTCGGCAGCTAAGTTCTAAATAGCATCTGGTAAGAAGTAATGAAATGTTCCCACACTTCATAATTCAACTTGGGTTTTACCCAGTCTGTTTCCATCAGCTGTCTCCAGGTCAATGCTAGCCCCGAGCTGTGGTTAACAGAGCAGGAGGAGTGTTAGTAGGGAGCGTGGTGGGGTCCCTCTGACTGGTTAGAAGGTCCTGCAGGAAAGGAACTCACTACGTTAGTATCTTAGCCTCTCTGTCCTCCCTCAGCTGATTTCCCCCATGAGTAGAATCCTTCCGAAGCCCCGCCATAACTAACACCTGCCTGAGAAAAAGAAATCCCAGATAACGCATCTCAACATGGAAATTTCCACTCCCTGTCGCTGACACAACTGATTCAAGAGAACTAAAAATCTGTACTATCGTTTATGCACATAAAGTTAGTGTAGTGAAGCCTCATTTACCCAAGGTCTGTGCAGGAAGGGCGTTCCACATTAGCAGCTTTGCACCGAGGCCCGCACTTTACCCTGATTAAAGCCGCCTTTTTAAAAGCTCCATCACACTGAAAAAGAGGAGTGCCCTCTCCTGAGGATGGCGTTAACCCGGGCTGGCCGAGGAGCCGCCGCCTGCACGATCTGCAGCACCTTGGGCCTCACATCAAGTCTGCGAGGAGCCAGCAAGCCTCGGCGCCGGACAGCTGCACCCCCGGGGCTAACAGCATCGCCTGTGGACGTCCTAGCTAGGCAGCTCTCCTATGGCAGAGTGCAGCTCCAAGTTACATGAAAAGTTTTGTTTACTCAGAAGCCACTTTTCTTTTCTGCAATTGTGTTTCCAGTGCAACTTCCTGACCTCTGGACAACAACGCATCTCAGATCTAAAGTTTTTACTAGGGAACAAGAATCTGAGGGTAAGGCTCCACGTTAAAAACAGACAAAAGCAAAATCTACAGCAGCAGTCCTCAGCCTCTGTACGTACAATTAGTGCCACAGACAATAACCCTCCCCCAAAGAACACTGCATGGAAGCCGGTTCACCACTTCAGACACAAACAAATCACAGGCTTTAGTAGTAGTATGGGATCAAACTAGTTGGAAGACTTTAGTATTTATCAGAAAGAGAAGAAAGAATAAATGTGTTGAAGTGGATAAAGCAGAAAACAATCTTCGTGTAACCGCACCGAACTTACCATTCTGGTCTGGTAACTTCTACGTCAATAACCGTCCCAGGAAGTGGGTTCTGAAGTCTTCCTCCAGACTGAGCAAAAAATCTGGCGTTCACTCGTTTCTTCACCACAATTACCGTTAGTCTTGGGCTTAAAGGTGATGATGATGAATGTAATGACACTGAGTCTGTCATGCCTCCAGGCACCCAATCATTCAGACATTCACATTCCCGTCCTCCATTTAAACAGAAACCCCTCTCCCTCTCGAGGCAGAGTATCTGTCCAAGTTGTGAAAGGACACACCACAGCTTGTAAGGACCTAGACAAGGACCAGGAGTCACTGGGGATGGAGTAAAGGATGGCATGTGACGTGGGGTCATGCAAATGTTCCGTCCACAGACAAGCACACTGCTGGCCCAGCACACGGAAATGGTACATTCAGCATGCTTCGAAGCACACGATTTGGAACACTCCTCAGTGGGCGTTTTCTACCAGGTGAAAAATAAGATCTGGAGTCTAAAATTGCTAGTAGGGAAGCTCATTTCAGCAGTGTCCAAGTCTAACCCAGCACTACTGGTTCACGAGGTATCGGGGCTCCCTGTCTCCCTCCCAGGGCCTAGTCACCCCTCAGCTCACCAACATGCTGGCAAGGGACACACCCTTTACATCCCCTCTGCACCCCACTGCCCAATGCCACTCTCCGGCTGGTTTCCCTATGCCCAGATGAAGCTCCCCTCCCCCGAGCATCCAGCACTCTACCAGAAGCCATCTGCTGGCCCCTAACATGCCTTCTGGCACTCTGGAGGGCAGCCCTTCAGGTGGCACCACATGTGGGCTGGAATACGTTTCACACCTTTTCTACCATCTCTGAAAGGTTCATTTCAAATCCTGTTCTTGAACACACAGCCACTCCCAGAGTACAGGGACTGGCCCACGGAAGGCACTCGGGAACCGTGCTGGTGTAATGTACTGGACATTTGAGAGAGGACTGTTACCAATCCCTCCATTCCTCCTGTGCCCTTTTCCCAACCAGAACATTAGTTCTCACAGAGCAGAAATACACTTGATTCCAAACTGTGGGACACAGAGAGCTTTACATGCAATGGGATCTGGAAAGTCTGGCTTGGGAAGGTCGTTCACAGTAATGCTATGTGGACAAATGGTCAAAAAGAACTTGAAGTGGGAACTTCCATTTAACAATCAATCTCATTTTGCTCCTTCAGGATAGTCAAATAAGCAAATCCAGAAGGGATAAGGGAGGTGATTTTACGTAAATAGAGGGTATTTGTAGAAATATCACCATCTACCCATGGAAGTCTAGTGCTGCCCAGTTACTGTGGCTCTGGATGTAATAAAGCCAGTCTCAAGAACCAAAAGACAAAGTGGATTTGAGTCTTCTGACATCACAAGAAACAACTTACCAAATGTCAGGACAGAAAGGTCATAAGTATGAAGTGACGTTTCGATTTGTTCTTCTATCAAATATCCTAAATCAGCTAATCCATTATGCATTTTAATAAAAAGTTAACATCAACATTTCAATTAAAAAACAAATACTGCGGTTCTAAGAATAATTACAAATATTTACATCCAAACTGCATTTCTTCAAAGTGAGAAATCATTCTTGGATATTATTTTACTTTCTACACAACTTTAAGTTTTTTCTAGACAAGTTATCTACCATTTACTGAGTGCTTACCGGGTACTGTATGAAGTAATGAGTTATTCTTGCGTATTCCTTTCGACAACCTTGGTTAGTTGCTTCCCCATCTCACAGATGAAGGCAACGCTGGGATGAACCTAGCTCTGCTCCCGGGATGCCCTGCACTTGATCACTAATCTTGGCAGTTACCAAGTACAGCAAAATTCACAATGTGAAATCCACTTCCTGGGACAGCTGGTTATGCCTCCATCCAAGCCACCACTTGAAAGCCCTTCCCTGCACCAATTTACCCCGTTCCCTCAATGGGAACTGGGTAGCTAGCCCCAGCAGGCACCCTAGGCTCAGGGCCGCATACTGAGTGTGAACAGGGGCCCTGTTCAGATACTCACCAGGGCTACCATCTCCTCTGCGAGAGCAGTTTCTGCCCAGGCTTCTGGGAACCAAACCCAAAGGACTCAACAAAGCAGCAGAGATGCAGGCTCCACCATGGCCACAGGGTGCTTTCCCCGTATCCTAAATATTCAGCTCAATGCTGGAAGATGAACGGACACTATGACCTCTACTCTTCACTTTTTAAAAAATTTTTATTTAAGGATTTTTATTTATTTGAGAGAGAGACAGTGCACACAAGTGGTAGGGGGGAGCAGAGGGAGGGAGGAGCAGAGGGAGAGGGAGAAGCAGACTCCCCGCTGAGCAGGGAGCCCGACACGGGGCTCCATCCCAGGACCCTGGGATCATGACCTGAGCTGAAGGCAGACGCTTAATGACTGAGCCACCCAGGAGCCCCTACTCTTCTCGAAAATTTCCTCTCCTCTAAGGTGTGAGGAAAAGGCCACTGAGGCTGGACAATGCTGAGGGTGAAAGCGGTAAAAGAAGAGGAGACAAGCAAGCACCTGCCGCATTGGACGCTCCCTGCCCCTACTGCCAGGCCACAGCCTACAGGGACGGCACTTCCAACTCCGAGAAACACCCAATAAGGTTTACAAAATTTCAGACACCAAAGGAAAATTAATACCATTATTTTAGTGAGAAAATACAAGCATTAGGATTTTTAAAGATAAAGAGGCCCCTGGGTGGCTCAGTTGTTAAGTGTCTGCCTTCGGCTCAGGTCATGATCCCAGGGTCCTGGGATCGAACCCCACATCGGGCTCCCTGCTCCGCGGGAAGCCTGCTTCTCCCTCTCCCCCTGCTTGTGTTCCCTCTCTCGCTGTATCTCTGTCAAATAAATAAAAATTTTTAAAAGATAGTAAAGAACATTAACTTTCGTTTCCAAGACACTAGAAAATGCTTATTAGTAATTTAATCTGAAACACAATTACTTCAAAAGAGATAAAAAAAAAAATCCCTGACTTCTTTGAGGACTTACTGGCATAATAAACTCATTTTAAGAAACGTGCAGAATCTCAAAACCAATAAAAAGAGGTCAAACAACTTCACATATAATGGTGAAGCTTGCAAATCTCAGAGACAAAGAGAAAATGCTGAAAGCAGCTCAGGACAGGAAGTCGGTAACCTCCCAGGGTAGAAACATTACACTGGCAGCAGACCTATCCATAGAGACCTGGCAGGGAAAGGACTGGAATGATATATACAGGGTACTAAACGAGAAAAATACGCAGCCAAGAATACTTTATCCAGCAAGGCTGTCATTCAGAATAGAAAGAGAGATAAAGAGCTTCCACGGCAAACAGAAACTAAAGAATTTGTGATCACTAAACTAGCCCTGTGAGAAATATTAAAGGCGATCCTTTAAGCAAAGAGAGAGCCTAAAAATAACGAAGACCAGAAAGGAACAGAGACCATACGCAAAACCAGGGACTTTACAGGTAATAGCAATGGCACTAAATTCATGTCTTTCAATAGTTACTCCGAATATAAATGGGCTAAATCAATGCCCCAACCAAAAGACACAGGGTTTCAGACTGGATAAAAAAGAAAGACCCATCAATATGCTGTCTGCGAGAGACTCATTTTAGACCCAAAGACACCTCCAGATTGAAAGTGATGGGGTGGAGAACAAATTACATTAATGGACATCAAAAGAAATCTTGGGTAGCAATTCTAGTAACAGACAAATTAGATTTTAAACCAAAGATTGTAGTAAAGGATGAAGAGAGACACTATATCATACTTAAAGGGTCTATCCAATAAGAAGATCTAACAATTATAAATACATATGCCCCCAACATGGGAGCAGCCAATTATATAAACCAATTCATAACCAAATGAAAGAAACACATCGACAATAATACAATAATAGGAGGGGACTTTAACACCCCACTCACAGCAATGGACAGATCGTCTAAGCAGAAGATCAATAAGGAAACAAGGGCTTTGAATGACACACTGGACCAGATGGACTTCACAGATATATTCAGAGCAACTCATCCTAAAGCAACAGACTACACATTCTTCTCGAATGCACATGAAACATTCTCCAGAGTAGATCACGTACTTGGTCACAAATCAGGCCTCAACTGGTACCAAAACACTGGGGTTATTCCCTGCATATTTTCAGATCACAATGCTTTGAAACTGGAACTCAATCACAAGAGGAAATTTGGAAGGAACTCAAATAGCTGAAGTTTGTTAAAGAGCATCCTACTAAAGATGATTGGGTGAACCAGGAAATTAAAGAAGAATTAAAAAGATTCATGGAAACAAATGAGAATGAAAACACAACTGTCCAAAACCTTTGGGATGCAGCAAAGGTGGTCCTAAGAGGGAAGTATATAGCAATACAAGTGTTTCTCAAGAAAATAAAAGAAGTCTCAAATATACAACCTAACCTTACTCCTAAAGGTGCTGGAGAAAGAATAGCAAATAAATCCTAAACCAAGCAGGAGATGAGAAATAATAAAGATTAGAGCAGAAATTAATGAAACAGAAACCAGAAGAATAGTAGAATAGATCAATAAAACTAGGAGTTGGTTCTTTGAAAGAATTAATAAGACTGATTAACCCCTAGCCAGACTTACCAAAAATAAAAGAGAAAGGACCCAAATAAAATCAGGAATGAAAGAGATCACAACCAACACCCAAAGAAATAAAATTATAAGAACATATTATGAGCAACTGTATGCCAACCAATTAGGCAACCTAGAAGAAATAGATGCATTCCTAGCAACATATAAACTATCAAAACGGAACCAGGAAAAAATAGAAAACCTGAACAGACCTATAACCAGCAAGGAAATTGAATCAGTAATCAAAAATCTCCCAACAAACAAGAGCCCAGGGCCAGATGGCTTCCCAGGGGAATTCTACCAAACATTTAAAGAATTAATACCTGTTCTTCCAAAGCAGTTTCAAAAAAATAGAAATGGAAGGAAAACTTGCAAACTCTTTCTATGAGGCTAGGACTACCTTGAGCCCAAAACCAGATAAAGATCCCACCAAAAAGGAGAATTACAGACCAATATCTCTGATGAACATGGATGCAAAAATTCTCATTAAGATATTAGCCAATAGGATCCAACAGGACATTAAAAGAATTATTCACCACGACCAAGTGGGATCTATTCCTGGGCTGCAAGTTTGGTTCAACATCCACAAATCAATCAAATACACTACATAAATAAAAGAAAGGACAAGAACCATATGATCCTCTCAATAGACGCAGAAAAAGCATCTGGCAAGGTACAACATTCTTTCTTGATTAAAACTGCACAGTGTAGGGACAGAAGGAACATACCTCAATATCGTAAAAGCCATCTACAAAAAAGCGCACAGCGAGTATCATTCTCAATGGGGAAAAGCTGAGAGCCTTTCCCTTAAAATCAGGAACATGACAAAGATGCCTACTCTCACCATTATTGTTCAACATAGTACTAGAAGTCCTAGCCTCAGCAATCAAGACAATAAAAAGAAATAAAAGGCATCTGAATGGGCAAAGAAGTCCTCAAACTCTCACTCTTCACAGGTGACATGATACTCTGTGGAAAACCCAAAAGACCCCATCCCAAAATTGCTGTAACTCATACAGGAATTCAGCAACAGGATATAAAAACCAATGCACAGGAATCAGTTGCATTTCTATCCACTAACAATAAGACAGAAGAGAAATTAAGGAATTGATCCTGTTTACAACTGCACCAAAAACCGTAAGATACCTAGGAATAAACCAAAGAGGCAAAGGATCTCTATTCAGAAAACTATAGAACACTCATGAAATAAATTGAGGAAGACCCAAAGAAATGGAAAATTGTTCCATGCTCATGGAGTGGAAGAATATTGTGAGATGTCTATGCTACCTAGAGCAATCTACACATTTAATGCAATCTCTATCCAAATACCATCAACTTTTTTTCAAAGAAATGGAATAATCCTAAAATTTGTATGGAACCAGAAAAAACCCCAAATAGCCAGAGGAATGTTGACAAAGAAAAGCAAAGCTGGTGGCATCACAATTCCGGACTTCCAGCTCTATTACAAAGCTGTCATCATCAAGACAGTATGGTACTGGCACAAAAACAGACACATAGATCAATGGAACAGAGAGCCCAGAAATGGACCCTCAACTCTATGGTCAACTAATCTTCGACAAAGCAGGAAAGAATGTCCAATGGAAAAAAGACAGTCTCTTCAATAAATGGTGTTGGGAAAATTGGGACAGCCACATGCAGAATGAAACTGGGCCATTTCCTTACACCATACACAAAAATAGACTCAAAATGGATGAAAGACCTCAGTGTGAGACAGGAATCCATCCAAATCCTAGAGAAGAACACAGGCAGCAACCTCTGAGACCTCAGCCACAGCAACTTCTGGCTAGACACGTCTCCAAAGACAAGGGAAACAACAAAGGTAAAAATGAACCACTGGGACTTCATCAAGATAAAAGGCTTTTGCACAGCAAAGGAGTCTACAAAACTAAAAGGCAATTGACAGAATGGAAGAAGATATTTGCAAATGTCTTTTATCAGGTAAAAGGCTAGTATCCAAAATCTATAAAGAACTTATCAAACTCAACCCAAAGAACAAATATTCCAGTCAAGAAATGGGCAGAAGCCATGAACAGACATTTCTGCAAAGACGACATCCAAACGGCCAACAGACACATGAAGAAATGCTCAACATCACTCGGCATCAGGGAAAGACAAATCAAAACAATGAGATACCACCTCACACCACTCAGAATGGCTAAAATTCACCACTCAGAAAATGACAAATGTTGGTGAGGATGCGGAGAAAGGGGAACCCTCCTACACTGTTGGTGGGAATGCAAGCTGGTGCAGCCACTCTGGAAAACAGTATGGAGGTTCCTCAAAAAGTTGAAAATAGAGCTACCCTACAACCCAGCAATTGCACTACTGGGTATTTACCCCAAAGATACAAATGTAGGGATCCGAAGGGTGCACCCCAATGTTTATAGCAGCAATGTCCACAACAGTCAAACTGTGGAAAGAGCCCAGATGTCCATTGACAGATGAATGGATAAAGAAGATGTGGTGTGTCTATACACACACACACACACAAATGGAATATCACTCAGCCATCAAAAAATGAAATCTTGCCGTTTGCAAAGATGTGAATGGAACTAGAAGGTATTACGCTAAGCAAAATAAGTCAGGAAGAGAAAAACAATTATATGATTTCACTCATGGACATTTGAGAAGCAAAACGATCATGGGGGAAGGGAGGGAAAAATAAGATGAAAATAAAAAGGGAAGCAAACCACAAGAGACTTTTAACTCTAAGAAACTGAGGGTTGCTGGAGGGGAGGGGGATGGGGTAACTGGCTGAGATGGGCATTAAGGAGGGCACCGGCTGTTGTATGCAAGCGGTGCGTCACTGAATTCTACCTCTGAAACGAATACATACACAACATGTTAAGTGAATTTAAATAAATTTTAAGTAAACATTAAGATTTAATTGATGTTATCAATTAAAAATAAAAAAAAATGTGTAGAATCAACACCTAGAATCTGGCCACGGAAGACTTGGAAGTGCCCTCCAATTCAGCTAGAAATAAGAAGCACGATCTTAATGTCTGCCCCACAGGTCAATAAATCACCCTGAGCCCAAATATAGTCAGTCAGCGGGTTCCAAAATCGCTCATTTTTATAATACCAAATGCTGCCTAAAAAGGTCTGACAATAATAACCAGTGTTGCAAAATACGCATGCGCTAGCACACAAACAGGCCTCTCGGATTTCCTGAGTATCCTTAAAAATCAGATTCACACATCTTTATGATGCATTAATAAGCTCTTAATACCACAGTCCCTGATCTCAGCTTGCTCACAATCTGACAGAGCAGCAAAATGTAACCCACTGGAACGGCAGACTGGAGTCGGTGTGCGCTGTCACTGCCCCATGGCACAGACGGGGCGGTCTGTGGGAAAGCGGAGGAGAGCCCGGTAGGGGTTTAGGGGCGCCAAGCACACCACCCTTGCACGTGCACACCATCCAAGAGGAGAAGTAACAACGTCTCCTAGGAGACTAAACACATGCCAACCATCTTACCTAGATCAAGTACCAGTCCCGTCAAGTTCACAAAGAAATCAAACAGGTATTCACTATACCCAGAAATTGAGAAAGAGTCAATTAAGATGGCTTGGAATTTATTCTAATAACCAATTCTGTGGATGCCTATATACGTACTGGAATTCTCAGATGCCCACACGTCAGGGCTTTAGGTGTGAAAGATGGCAGGCAGAGAGTTGGCAAAAGTGTCTTCATGTGTCTTTCCTCTCCTTGAAGGGAGGGACCCTCTACGTGACCATTCTGCATGTCCAGCCCCTCCCCCTTCCACACCCTCAAGCCTCGCTACACCCCTGAGGTTATAGGCTCTCACTTACCTTTGCATTCGGGAACACTCATTTCAAAGATAAAAAGGTATACTTTTATAAAGAGAAAATGCTTTACAGTTTGCATGCTTACTTGTAACCTCTACCAACGGATTTCAGGCAATCCAAAAACTGTGGTACTTCATAGTTAACCAGTGTTTTCAGCTGACCATCTCCTACACCATCCCGATACACGATAATTCGACTAGGCATGTATTCATTGCAGCTATTCCAAGCCCTCAGAGCAGCTGAAAGCAAGCCAGAAAAGTTTTAAATCAATCAACACAGAATAAAAACGGTGTGTTGCTATCAAATTCTGCCCAGAATTTCAACAACATAACTTGAGGATAATTTCTTGAAGACCCCAGTTCAGAGACCAGGATGGAAACACTATAGGAGACTAACCTTGCAAGCAGACTTTGAGCCCATCGACAAGCTCTTGTCCTCGATCTTGAAATACACAGCGAGAGAACCAGCTGTTCAGAGAGACCAGGACAAGGGTGAGAACGGTACTGTCTACAAGTTGTTCCTTCTGAAGCACTTTGCATTTATTTCCTCAGCAGCTTGTAATGTTTAACCCTTCTCAAGATACCTGCTAACATTTCCAAAACTTTATGAAATCTAAACAGAACAAGACACTCCTAACAGCACAAACGAAGCTTTCTTTTACTATAAATCAATACTATAATTCCCTTGCTGAGGAAAAAATAAAATTTAAACTGTAATATCTAGAGACAGATCGTAGGCTTACACCTTAGTACACATAAGGAGCCCACTACCTGCTCTGCTCTTTAGAAGACATCTATTATAGATTTCACGCTTGTGAAAGATATGAGACCTAGAGAAACACACCCACTAGCAATATGCACACATCAATATACCTTTAATTTCCATCCTTTCCTATTCTTGAAAATTCTCTTAGTTCTAACAAGAGCACTGAAAAATAATGCTATATATGTTGAAACACAAGTGACTGGGTAAACTGAAGTGGGTTTTCCAAAATAAAAACACAAAAACTTTATAATGTACATTTCAGCAGTCAAAAAAAATTATTAAAGAAGTTTCAGGGATGGTTGCATTTAATGAGATACACCCTCCCCCAAACAGAAATAATCATAAAATAGCCTGAAATGCAATCTGACTACTATAGATTAAGGGCCAATGAACAAAGTCGAAAACAGCAGGGTAGCTAACTTCTTTTACTTCCCTAACTTACTTACTTACCTAATGTAATTCAAGGGGTTGTAAAGAAAGAAGGAACAAAACCCCAAACCTCGAGCCTTGCAGGGCCCCAGAACATCGGCCCTGCACGCCCACCTGCTCCTGCCATGTCTAGCAGTTAATGCACTGCCACCCACCCCTGCACTCACCGGGTCATCCCTTCATTGATACTTGCAACAAATCCTGCAATTGACCTCCGTCCAGCTGTGGTATCGTGGTAACAGTCAATGCCAACTATCATCGCCAGCTTCAGCTTTAACAAAAATACTGTAGTTTTAGATACAACAGAATACCAACAGTATTTAGAAAGTAAATCCATTTTTCTCAAACAATGAAACTTTTATGTACCAGTTAAATCAAACTTACAGGCATATCAACCCTCCAAAGCTCCCCTCCCATCTTGCAATTCATCTGCAGGGCGATCTTGGTAGCAATGGCCATGACTGTCTGCTGCTTGCCAAGAGTCCGGGCCACCACACACTGACTCGGAGTAGGGCAATCTGTACACAAGTATTTTTTAATAGCATCATATTTGTCTTTCCGATTACTTGACAACAGACAAACCACCTGAAACCAAAAGAATGTTCTCATTACAAAGAGTCAGGGAGCTGATGGAAGCTCAAGGAAGAGAACAGGAGGCAAGCCTGCCCACTGGGCATAAATGTCAGACACGGTCTCCGCCACAGAGCTGACAAGCAGCACGCTCACTGCTAGGTACTGCCCACTCCACTCACCCAGCGATAGATGCTAATAAAAAGGAAGGAAACCATGTGAAGCCGATGACTCAAAACTGAACACCATGAGAATTTAGTTAAATATGCTCTAGTACCAGCTTGGAATAACTTAGAGATAGGAAATAGGGCAAAACCAGTGATAACCTACAGGTGGACAAACAGAAGATCTTCTACCATACTCACAGTTCTCACCTACTGACGATCCATCTAGGATCATGGCTTTTTCACTTTTAAAGCTCTGGCTTGAGGCCCTGATCACCCTGTGAAAACTTCCCAGTCCATGGGACAGTTCTGGGGACCAAACAGAGTGCCTCATCTAAACACACTCCTGCCGGACATGGGAAGATGTCAAAGAGCACAAACTTCCAGGTCTGAACCGAGTAAGCTCTGGGGATCTACTGTACAGCTTGGTGAGTACCGTCAACAATGCTGAGCCGTGCACCTGAGAGGGGCTCAAGCTAGATCTGAAATGTTCTGGGAACAAAACAAGTCAACCTGTAATTTACGTGAGCTGACGGAGGAGGGCGCCAGCTGTGATAATCACTGTGCCACATACACATGCATCAAAGGGTCCCACCGTACACCTTCCACTCCCAGCGTCGTTTGTCCATTACATCTCCAACACTGGAAATCAACCAACCAATTCCTGCCCAATCCAAGTTTGTGTTTAGAGCGGACTCATTGCTGTGTTCTCCCATGTACACTCCCAGATTCTTCCCTCTTTTCTCTCGCCCCCAACAGAATCACTTTGCCATCCCAGGTGTCTTCATTACTGCAGACAATGTAATACTGCTCTGCCTGTGGCACTGAAGCAGGAGATGAAGGGCTAGAAAGCAAACAGATTAGTTGAAGCCAATTTACTTCCTAGCTTTAAAGCAACATACATGTGTTGTTTATCATTTCATCTGCCTTGGCCACCTCCTTACTTATCCGGCGACACGTGTGCCGAACAACTACATGCTAACTTCTGCTCGTGCGCCTATTTCCCCATGGAATTTCATGGAACTAGAGCCTTGGAATCCAAGTACCTCCCAGACGGCTCTGTGCCCCCAGCCCTCCTTCACCAACCGCAGCCACACGCCTGGAGCCAGCATTAACAGCGCCACCTGCCAGAGGTGAGGTCCGTATTTTCTGTGACCGGCTTGTGAACCGAATTACAACCTTTCAAACTCCAATTCTAAGATTTACAAATGCACTTTGTAAAACAAGTCATTCCAGGACAACTGCCTATGTATCAGCTACTTACTATCTGGGTATCTGATGTAACCTTCTGCTGTAAGACTCTCAAATAGGCTTCAGTTCGATCATCCACTTCAATCCTAGAATGGAAATTCATTATCCAACATTCAGAAAAAGTAATGAAAAATGTACCATGCATAAACAATTTCCCATAGACTATCACACATGAAACACCTCTGTATAAAATAGAAAATAAAAACAAGAGTGGCCATGTAGGCAAAAGGTTGTTTCTAACGCAAACAGCAAAATAAATAATCTGAGAAACAGTGCTGCTTGTTTCCGCCCCCATTCTCAGTTACTGAAATACGTTTCTACATCAATGACAGGGAACTGTATCAGATCTTTAAACAATCTAGTTAATGTGGTTAACATTTTTATCACTTTGGCGTTCCCACACCCTCCAAATGACTACTAATCAATTTTCAGAGTAGAAATGACTTGATACACTTACATTATTGCCTTTTTCATTTGTATGCCCATGGCTGGTGTAACTTTAAATAGATTCTGTATCAGTGAATTGGCTGCTTCATAATTTCTTCGAGCATAGATCAACAGCCAGTTGTCTAGTGGCTTAACACTAATTAACGGTGCGCCTCTTGTTTCTTTAGACCAATCTGCAAATTGTGGGTTGTACTCAAACTAGAAGAAAGTTCGGAGACACCGTGAATTCCGCTGTATGTTCTCAGTGGCAAAGCCAACCAGCGTGTAACAAGTGTACCATGGCATTCCGACCCTTAGGGCACTACTCTTCCATCGCGACTCCAGGGACAGACAAAATGCCGCAGCGGGGGACAAAGGTACAGAGTGTGTCCGAGGACGATGGGACCCTGTCACAAGTGCTCCTCACCCCAGGCCCTCCCCTCGGTGCTTCCTGCGCCCTCCTTCCTCTTCTAAGACGTGACAAGGACAGGCGTTATGTCCCTTGTGATAAAGACACAAAACAAACACAGCTTGGAAAGTTAGGCAACTGGATGGAGGTGTCGGGTACTGAAAGCAAGCAAGGCAGAAAGCTGACCAGCTCGAAGCGCTGTGATGTGGTGCGAGTCCTCACAGAGGAAACCCCCAGTGCTTCTTCCGTGTCCTGCCCACCTCCCCCACACCCGCTGCACAGGGGTGTGTACGCTGACCATCTCTACAGAATAATAAACACAACTGCTGTTAAGACATTAAGCTACGTGGTTAGGATGTTGTTCCTACAACACTTAGAAGGCAAAAGGGCAGTTTTCTATAAAAGGATTTTTAAAGTTCGGGCACTTGCAGTGCTGCCGTCACACAAAAATGTTTTTACAATACTCGCCTCCCTTTTCTGAGGAGAACACTTAAAAAGCATCACAATATTTACTATATAACCCTACAAACAAATAGTCCAGGCAAAAATGAAGCCAAATAAATTGGAAGTTTTCTGATAAAAGATCACTTCAGCGGCAGATGAAATACCAACCCAATCACTTACAATTCTTCTATACCTTAAGTAATTCTGCTATGAGAAACAAATTAAGCCAGCCTTCAGTGAAGTCTCCCCGGTGACTGTGAGGACCAAGCTACAGGCTCCTCCATGCCCGCCTCCTTGCTCCCAGGAGTTGACAGAGTGGCAGTGCGAGGAGAGGAGAGGTGGTTAGGAACGCAGACTGCCACGTAATGGGGTTTCCCTGCTAAATTTACTGTGAACCAGACCCAAATCTGATGGGATTGACAACTGAAGAACTGCCTTACTGTTTTTCCACCTTGGTGAATCTTTTCTGCTTGCAAAATTCTTCCTGAGAAGGACAGTAAGTTGGAGTCAAAGGTCAAACCCCAGTCTCGAAGCTCCCTCTGAACATTATCATCTCTGTAAATTTAACATATTTACGTACCACTCAACGTAAGCAAACACAGCAAAAAGACACACGCAAACAGAGATCCACACCACCCTATGATACGTTTCCCTGTTTCTCTCAGGACTGAAATCCCAGAGAAAACGCCAGGAAGAGAGACGGGCTCTCCATTTCTCCCTTGTGTCCCTGTGTCTCTTCAGGATAGACTTTAACTTACAATTCTGATGCCCAAACTACCTCCCCTTCAAAGTAAACCCCTCGATGTTAGAGAAAATAAATTTGTCCAAAACATTTCACCTTCTGCTTTATTGCCTTTTGCTAATAGAACTAGAAAAGGCCATGGGCTACAGAGTTTAATATTCCCTGACAAAGAGCAGGCTCACCTAGAAACACAAAGAACCCACCCCAAATACTGCAAATACAAAAAGAAAACAAAATGACTTTCTCTCACTCCCCCAACCCACAGAAAATAATACAAAACTGGATCCATGCCCCAGTGGGATGCAGAGGACTTACTTATGAATATAATCAATGAGTCTTCCCACTTCACGCTGCCTTTGTTCTGGAGTCAGTCTTGTATGAACAGCTAAGTCTTTCATCACATTAAAATCATTACGCATCTTATCAGTTAGACCTTCAAATAAAACGTTGAAAGGTGTATCACCAGACAAACAAGGATCACGTCTCAATATTTGGAGTGCAAACTGGTGAAGAGGGAGGGAAAGCGCAAGGAGAGGAAACAGCAGGAAGGGCTTTTCCGGGGGGGGGGGTAGTGGGGCTCCTAGGAGAGACGGGGAAGGCAGCCCCACCACAGCGGTACCTGTAAGATAGCAGAGTTCTGGAATGAGCATCGCAGGGCCCGGCATGGTGCCGCCAGGGCCTCGCCTTCTCTTTGGTTGACTGACCAGAACAGGTTGCTTCAAGTCGGTGATTTCTTGGTTGTATTGCTAGTTAAGAAAAGAAGGTATCGCTGTTCATGTAAATGTCTTTAGTAATAGATCAGTGGACCAAGAAAAAGGGATTTTTTTTTTTAAATTGAGAATTGATGCCAACAGCAAAGCTGGTATCAGTATCCAAGTAAAGCTTCAAAAGTGCATCTTCAATCCTACTAGAATAGCTTGTGATTTGTAGTTGTTACTGAGTACCTCATCTTTCTTCCCAAAAACTTAAGAGTCTCACTGTCCTTGACCATCTAAATTCTGAGTTTTAGTCACAGTTCACTTAGTGATTTTTTTGGTTTAGAAACAGAAGCCTGTGTATCTCTGGGTCCTTAACGACAGAATTCCTCCAAAACTACTAGTTATTACAGTGAGAAGTGGTGTAGGAAACAAGCCCTGATATAACAATACATGGGATGAAGGAAGAGGTTTGCATGCCAGAGAACATTTTTAATTAGGAAAAGTTTTTACAGAAGATAGAAGGTGAATTTCAATTCAGTAGTCTTTTTATTTAAGGGATTTGACAAACCACGAGGGACTCTGGACTCCGGGAAACAAACTGAGGGTTACAGAAGGGAGGGGTGGGGGATGGGGGCAGCTGGGTGATGGGCGTTAATGATGATGTGATGAGCACTGGGTGTTATATGCAACTAATGAATCACTGAACACTACATCAAAAACTAAATTAATGATGTACTATATGCATATATGATATAGGATAAAAAAAAAACCCAAAAACCAAAAACAAAGAGATTTTATTTATTTGAGAGCGAGTGAGCATGAGAGGGAGGACGGTCAGAGGGAGACGCGGACTCCCAGCTGAGCGGGCAGCCCGACACGGGGCTCGATCCCAGGGCCCCGAGCTCATGACCTGAGATGCTTAATTGACTGAGCCACTCAGGCACCCCTCAGTTCAACAGTCTTAAGATTCCCCACACGCAATCACTAAGATAAGTTTTCACAACTGGTAAAAAACCAAAAAACAAAAACTGCTGACTTTGGTGAGTTCACATATGCATAAGATGGCTTGTGAGCCTCAGGCCTCCAGCCCTGGAACCAGGACAGGCTTCCTTGTGTCATCTCCACTAGTTTCTGGCCCCATGTTCTCGAGACCCTCTTTGCCAGCATCTCCTGTACGTGCGCTTTTCACTTTCAGAGGAGAGAGCGCACATCTGCATTCAGCACACAAGGGCTGAGCAACGTGACGGCCGTTCACCAGCAGAGGAAGAAGTACTTCCTGTCCTTATTCCCACCCTATGCCAAGGTCCAGGCCACCTACCCTCAGGAACTAAGAGACCGTGAATTCTAGTCTGTTCTGACTTTGTCCTATACTGAACTCTTTACCAACCATTCAGGGACAAAGCTCATTTTCCTATTTTGGGTAAGGAAATTTCAAGAACCCTCTTATCTGAAAGCTGCTCTGTGTGCCTACACTACTTTTTCATCACACCATCTTCTTTATCGGGGTCCACCCACTGAATGCCCCCTCCCTTGCATGTCACTTACTGGGTGCACACACGAGCAGGAGTGTGGGAGTGGAGCCAGACGCATTCCTACGTCCGCCCTATCTCACCAATGGGCCTTCAGTGCGTGGTTCCTTCTTATACAACTTAGGGATCCCCTTCCTACATTCTTAGGGCCCAAACAAAAGCCTGTCAGTTCTTTTAACATCTTCCCCTACATCTAAAAACCTAGTACTTTCACTTGCACTTAATACTGTCAAACCTTTTCTTTTAAAAACTGACCATGATCCTCCTTTCAAAGGCCCTTCTCTCTCCCATTCTGAGTGCTTCTTAAATATGATTTTTAACGTAGAACATCCAAGCCATCACTTATCAGGAAAACTGCATTTCTACTAGGAAGTCCCAAGAAAGCTGTGATTCTTTGAAACATTTCAACCTCACCCCATCCTGACTGACTCTATCTACTACAGACGCTCAGTCAGCCCTGGCTGTGAGAGAAGTCTTCCAGCAACAATCATCTGAGCTGAGACTAAGCCTAAGAGCACGAGTCAGGTGTGCACAGCGCCCCAGGCAGCAGGAGCCTGGGGTCAGAGGAGACGGCCAGGGTGAGCAAGGAGCGAGGCGAGCACCAGCACGCAGACAGGGCTACTTCCCTCAGGGCCTCACTGGGCACACACCAGCGCATGTCTGTATTGTGGGTAGAAGAAAAACATCAGAACTGTAGGAGTCTGAAAGTGGATCAGAAAGCAGGAGAAATGCAAACTGAAACCAGCTGAATGGGCACGGGGTCTGCACAGCAGAGGGTGGCCACTCAGAGGAGGAGGGGGATGGAGGCATTTCAGACGGCAGGGCCGCCGGCATCGCTGCAGGTGAGAAGAGGCACGCAGGCCCGAGGCCTTCACTACCTGTTGTGCACGTGTTCACGCACTCAGACACCTGAGTGCCTTCCAAGGCCCTAGGGGGACAGAAACCACAAAACCCCTGACCTTGTGGAAGTTACAGTCTCTGTGCTGATCAAGAGCACTGCACATGGGCCAGGTCAGCGGCCAGAACTCATAAAGCGTTGGTCACATGGAAGGGGTCTTTGAGATGTGCAATTACTGAGAACAAGCAAGCTCAGACATGTCTGGGCTAGAGCCAGAAACCTGAGAACCGTGAACATAGCACAGACGAGCCTGCAGATCACCTAACAAGTTACTATGGAGTAACTGAGGGTGTTCCAGGCAGAACCTTGAGTTATGTCAACCAGTAGAAGGCCACTTAGGAGTAAGCTGGCATGTAACACTCACTGCTAGTCAGAGAAGGAGAACCTCCCCTGGCCTGGCTTTAGGTGGAAGACAAACTTTCCACGGGTGTCTCCTTTGCAATTGCCGTTGATATATACCGATTCTTCCTGTCCCGACAGTGATTAGGAAACTACAGAAAAATGCTCATTTCTCACAGTAACTCTCACACCCAGAAGGAATCTAGGTTAAACATGGCTGGGGTCCTCAAGGAGTTAAGAGAGTGAAAACAATGGTAGGGAAATCAGGCTAAGATGGTCCCTGGCCTGTTTTCATTTTGCCCAAAAGAAGAGCAGCTCTTAATGTGGCTTCTCAGAGTCATTTCCCTCCAGAGTGCCATCTGACCTTTCCGTTCATAGCAGAGCAGCTGAAGCTCAGGCAATAGTACACAGTACAAACACATTTCAAGGCCACCAGTCTGATGTGTAATTCTCACATAAGACACAAACGTATAACAGCTTCTTTATCCAGCTTTTTAAAAATAGGAAACGTACTTAAAGTGGGGAAAAAATGAGATAAATCTTAGCACTTAAAAGACAAGCATTAAGATTTTAACTGATTCATGTTTTAGAAATACTCCTTCTGCACTTGTAACCGAGAATATCAAATGGAATGCAACTTTCTAAGGACACGGGGCCAGATCTGCTTATCCCTGAACAACAACGTTAGTGTGTGTTCTGATGTAAACACTGTACTTTCTTCTAGTTGGCAGTAGGTCTTTCTCGCTATTTGCCTCTGCTGTTTTTTCAAGGATTACCACACCAACAGCTAGAATCATCTGTATGAAACTAGGATTAGAAAATCACACAATAAACTGATCTAGCCTATATGAAACAAGGTGAATTTGTCAATACGTAAAACAAAAGTTGAATTAACCCACACACTAACAATGAAGCAGCAGAAAGAGAAATCAAGGACTCCATCCCATTTACTATTGCACCAAAACCCGTAAGATGCCTAGGAATAAACCTCACCAAAGGGGTAAAAGATCTATACTCTGAAAAGTATAGAAACTCATGAAAGAAACTGAGGAAGACACAAAGAAATGGAAAATTGTTCCATGCTCATGGAGTGGAAGAACAAATATTGTTAAAATGTCTATTACCCAGAGCGATCTATACATTCTATACATTCCTATCAAAATACCATTAATAATTTTAAACAGAGTTGGAACAAATAATCCTAAAATTTGTATGGAACCAGAAAAGACCATGAAGAGCCAGAGGGATGTTGAAAAAGAAAACCAAAGCTGGTGGCACCACAATGCTGGACCTCAAGCTCTATTACAAAGCTCTGATCATCAACAGTATGGTACTGGCACAAAAACACACACAGATCAATGGAACAGAATAGAGAGCCCAGAAATGGACCCTCAACTCTATGGTCAACTCATCTTCAACAAAGCAGGAAAGAACAGCTGATGGAAAAAGGGACAGTCTCTTCAATAAAAGGTGTTGGGGAAAATTGGGACAGCCACATGCAGAAGAATGAAACTGGACCATTTCTTACACCACACACAAAAATAAATTCAAAATGGATGAAAGATCTCAATGTGAGATAGGAATCCATCAAAATCCTTGAGAACAGAGACAGCAACTTCTGGCTAGACACGACTCCAAAGACAAGAGAAACAACAAAGGCAAAAATGAACTACTGGAACTTCATCAAGATAAAAAGCTTTTGCACAGCAAAGGAAACAGTCAACAAAACTAAAAGACAGCCGACAGGATGGGAGAAGATATTTGCAAATGTCTTATCAGGTAAAGGGCTAGTATCCAAAATCTATAAAGAACTTCCTAAACTCAACACCCAAAGAACAAATAATCCAATCAAGAAATGGGCAGAAGACATGAACAGACATTTTTCCAAAGAAGACATCCAAATGGCCAACAGACACATGAAAAAGTGCTCAACATCGCTCGGCATCAGGGAGATACAAATCAAAACCTCAATGAGATAGCACCGCACCCCAGTCAGAATGGCTAAAATTAACAAGTCAGGAAATGACAGATGTTGGTGAGGATGCGGAGAAAGGGGAACCCTCCTACACTGTTGGTGGGAATGCAAGCTTGTGCAGCCACTCTGGAAAACAGTATGGAGGTTCCTCAAAAAGTTGAAAATAGAGCTACCCTATGATCCAGCAATTGCACTACTGGGTATTTACCCCAAAGATCCAAATGTAGGGATCCCAAGGTGCACCTGCACCCTAATGTTTATAGCAGCAATGTCCACAATAGCCAAACTGTGGAAAGAGCCCAGATGTCCATCGACAGATGAATGGATAAAGAAGATGTGGTTCATATATACAATGGAATATTACTCAGCCACCAAAAAATGAAATCTTGCCATTTGCAATGACGTGCACAGAACTAGAGGGTATGATGCTAAGTGAAATAAGTCAATCAGAGAAAGACAAATACCATATGGTTTCAGTCATGTGAAACTTAAGAAACAAAACAGATGAACATAGAGGACAGGAAGGAAAATTTAAAATAAGATGAAATCAGAGAGGAAGACAAACCATAAGAGGCTCTCTTAACTACAGGAAACAAACTGAAGGTTTTTAGAAGGGAGGCAGGCGGGGAGATGGGTAATTAGGTGAGGGGCATTAAGGAGGGCATGCGATGTAATGAGCACTGGGTGTTATACGCAACTGATGAATCACTAAATTCTACCCTCGAAACTAGTAATACAGTGTATGTTAACTAAATTGAATTTAAATTAAAAAAACAGAGTTGACCCATATGCAGATTTAGCAGATCTGATGCTGAGGATGTAGTCATCTTTAACCCCCATCCCTGGGTGAAGTTAAAGAAGAAGCGTTTATTACAGAATACGGGTCAGTACAGTAAATTTGTATTGTTCATTACCAATTACCCTGTTTGTCCTCCACAAGCTTAAAATCAAATACAAGCTTTCATTGTCCTGGGAAAAAGGAAACAGGACCAAGCACTTCTCATGTGATAATGAGCTAAACTATGCTATGATTGCCTTAATAAACACATTTATATACAGTTTTCAAAGCAAGTTGTTCCTTGTGTACAAGAAAACCCTACTGAAAATAGTTCACATTTTTCCTAAGGCCTAAATACTTCACACGAAAAAGATAAAGTCAACATGACATTCTTACCTTCCTGTAGTACTCTAAGAAACTGACTTCAGAACCATCTGCTTTCCTAAAGGTACTCTTTGGGCTCTGGTCCCAGTCAATATCATCTACTCTGTAGGTCTTATTGTTGTATCTGTGGAACGGTTGAGGTTTATTAGGATTTGATTAGAATGGTAGAAAGGGTACTGAGGAGAGACTAGAGGGAGACAGTACATAGTCTCTACAAAATAAACTTCCAGATCCCTTAGTAACGTATGACGTCACGGGAAAAGAAAGGGAAAACTTCTTAAAGACCATGCTAGATGGGTGGGGAAGTGAATAAAGAACTACTAGAAAATAAAACAAGGACTAAAAAGGATAGAAGTCATTAGATCTTTGTCCTTTTCAAAGGAGCGTTCTCCCCGACAACTTGCGTCTTGAGAAAGGTCACAAACACCCCTTCCCCGTTTTCATGCTATTCCCACTCCTCCACCGTAAACCCTACTTTCTAACAGGATGGAACAGAAAGCTACAGGATCTTAAGACTTGCAAAATGGTTATTCCATATTTTAAAAAGCAGTCTTACTTGGTAAGAACAATTAAACCTATTAGTTCTTTAGAAACTTGTTCTTGAAATTTATGTTCTTCAGTTTGATGATATAAGTTGAACATGAAATCTAACACGGTTTCACTGCGAAGGACTTTATGACTGACGTCAGTGCAAAGCATGATGTTGTTCTCGTACTGAAGAATAGAGGTGGTGAAGCCAGGCCAGATCACCAACCTGTCAAACAGAATGAGAGCTATGAAGTGACCCTTATGAATGACACTAACATGTGCTGTGTATATCAAGTTGTGTTATTCTCCTTTATTAATTAAGTCTAAAGTACAGAAGTTTTCGGATTGAGCAAATTTAGTTATTTCTAGGTTTTACATGGGTCCAGATAAAGACCCCTCTTTTTAAGGTCCTCAACAATGAACATCGTTTTATAGTATAATAATTTAAGTTCCACTTTGAATACACTAACTTTATTAAATGATTTTTTATGTTGGTAAGACTTGGAAAAAGTTGCCAGTCTAACTGAAAGCATCTGTAGTTAGTATAATAAACCTAAACTGTGTGTGCTGCACTTGGATACACTATAGGAACTTCTGAAACAATCCTCATTAGCTCATAAATTTTGTTCCCCAAGAGCAAATACAAACTTAGTGTTGGACAACTCTTCACGCTTCCCTAGTGACAGATGAATAGCATGTGATTTTTTTTTTTTTAAATCCAAGTATTCTAGGATGTCTCCTTTAAGTTAAATGTTTACTTAACATGATGGGTACCATTAATAGCCACAGTAATAAATCTGATTATTTCAAATTAGAGCATCGCTCAAAGTTCTGTGATTAATGCCGAAGGAACAGAAAGCTTCCATTTCATACAAACCTATGATTTGGAATATCGATTGGGTCACTTGGGTTATAGTAATTCCGTCCAATTTGCTGTAAATTCATGATCTTCAAGAGCCTAGAAATTGAAAGGTCAGAAGAGAGGAGTAAATACTGGTAAGTATCTCTAATGCACAGGGACTCACCACACCGGTCTTTCAACTCTTCTCTAGGTTTTCAATTTTTCTTAGTAAAATGTTAAGAAAACACTGACATACCTCCTGAAGATAATATTATAGAACTGCAAACAAGTTGGTGATGTAGGTGGGAGTTCATTTGTTAAGGTGATTGTTATCCTCACATGCTCTCCATTTCGGGTCTGACTAAACACTTCAGTAACCTGAGCCAGAGCAGTGGAAAACCAAACTTTTAATTGTTAAAAGAAACTAATAATCCCAATTACACAATTCCTGCTAGTAAGGCAACAGTGAAAAGTATGGAAAAGTTTTAAATTAAAAAAAGAATGACTATGAGAAGAGTGTTTACGGGCCCATGTTATAATCGTCATCAAGTTATTCAGGTAGATTTAAAATGAAACAACAATACCAAAGTCCCCTCTGGGTTCATTATACACACTGTAAGACAGAAGACCACTGGAGTTTCTCTAAAAGCTACCCTACATTGTGGCAGTTCTGCTTTGAAGTGGAAATCCTTCATCACCCTCTCCCCAACCCAACATTTTAAAATAACCTTGTGCTGCAGTCTTTTAGGTAAAAATAGTATTGTTCCATCAAAAGCATGACACCTTCCAATTAAATCTTCATGTTGAAAAAGAAGAGCTGAGCGGAGTCTTCTGGCTTCCATCAGCGGGTTATAGTCAATGTGATACTGATATAAGGCCCACTGGGGACGGGACGTCAATCGAAAATGGTTAGTGCTCAGCCTTACTATAATACCTGAAGAACCTGTAAAAGCGAGTCACGTTTCATTAACACAGTAACAAATTTATTCTTCCCTGAAATCTTTCCTACCATGACAAGGCAGACACAGTTCTGTAAACAAAAGGCTAAGAATAGTATACGACACTGAAGTTCTCGGATATGACTTTGAGGATGACTATCCTCTCCAGGTAAGTTGCTACAAGCATACGTTTAGGAATAAATCCTCCTTAGACCAAGTAATTTACAACAGAACCAACCAAATCTCTCTACGGCAAAAAGTTTTAAAAGAAATGTTACGTAACACTTAGTAAAACATTTCAGTGCAGCTGAAGACACTGATAACCTATTTCATCAAAGCCGAGAGAGAGAGAAATGGAAAAGCCATGTAGGATCCTGACCAAATGTGCCTTTTCTTCCTACTACTGCATCATACCAGTAAATATGTAAAATAAAGGGCTTCAATTCAGTGTCCTGTGTACTGGAATAGTAATCCCAGGAAACTGCATTCTTCATAATTAACCCACCTGTTTTTGATTCTTTAACATGGTCCAGGTTCTGTCTTGTATTGACACCAAGATCATGAAAGTCTCTACGACGACCTCCTCTCTCTGCTAACGATAACTCCTGAAATCCAGCAGATATCTGGAGCTCTTAAAAAAAAATGATATCCTATGTCACATGAAACATGAAATAAAGAATGATGAAATTAATTCCCAAAATACTACATGAAACCTGAAAGCTATAGAGGTGCTACAGATAACATACATGAGTTCCATCAGAACGTTTTATGTATCTGCTAGCCAAACAGAGTACCTTAGCTATGACTTCTATAAAGCCTCCTTGCCACTGCCCCAGCCAAACTCAGCTGCTCCCCTGTAAGACATATATCCCTGTAAAAAACTAAGACAATTGGGCCTGTGATTCAAAAACTCAGGAGCACGCTTGTTGACTGGGAAATCATTATTCTGTACTGTAAGTTCTGATAACAACCTAAGACCCTAAATAGCAGTATTTTTCATGGTTTTATGATGCACTTATAGCTGTTTAGCAATTGGTGGTTCATAGGTTTTAATGTGTAAATGTCTAGAGTGTCATTTCCTCACTAATTCCCTTAAGAACAGACGGGATCATCCTGTGCGTACCCCATGGGCACCATACACATGGCCTAGTGCGACAGGTTAGCTAGCAGTTCATGTGGTTTCAAAAGCTGGTTATAATTTCCAAAATTATTAAATCCTTCAATTTGTACAACATATGAAGTCTCTCCTATCAACAGTATGATGTGGGCCAAAGAATGAATGTGGGCTTTGTCGTCTCGTGTTACAATTGTAGCTTTCAGTTAACAGGGACCATACCTCAAGTACCAGAGACTTTAGTGGACTTCCCAATCTCTCAGTCTTCTTTTTAAAAATTAGTTTTTTAGAGTCATGTACCTAATGGACTAGAATTCCACCTTCCCTGCAGGTAAGGACAGCCTAAGAGATTTACCAGAAGTTACTGGATCACCCTCTGGGAAAGTGCCTTGAGAGGGAGTCAGTAGCCAGTGTTTATATCCTCTGGACCCCTTGCCCTTCCAATCTTGCCTGGAATCTGGATGTGATCACCAAACCTAAGTCTTAATGACAGAAGTCGGGACAAAAGAACAAAAGGACTGAAAAGCCCAGTTTTCTTCTAACCACAAATGTCAGGACTAGCCCCGAACTGCCAACTTCTGGACTTCTTCGTTAGAGAAGGAACAGTGGCTTGAACAAAATATTGGTTCTTGATATATTCTGGAAGTTATTCTAACATGAGCTTCACCTTCCTTACCTGAAAAATTGATGAACTTCACGGGCATGTAAGTTTTACATGAAAATGTAATTTATAAAGCCCTTTAAAGGTGTTGCTAACTATGTTGGTTCTTGTACCTCAGGATATTCAGAGGCTCTACTTAAAAGTCCTTTAAATATAGAACTGTTCTGTTTCCCTTGAATTTTTTATCCCAGAGACTTTCAATTTAAAGTAGCCTTGGCCTTGGGTGAGTAACTATACTAACACAAGTCAGGCATACTGAATCAAGCTGGTAAAAATAACAGGTCAAAGAGGCTTTTTTCCTGAAAAATTTGGATTTATCTTAAAATTCGGTTCTGGATATAAAAACCTGACTAAGTTTCTGAATATAAACAATGATGAAGTTTGTTTCCCTCTCTACATACAGCACAACTTTTATGTTTAGCCAAAGTTTGCATGTCAATCTGTAAAGAGGACAGGTTTCAGAATGAATAAAATTGGAAAGCTTGCTAATTATAAGGATACTTCACTTTATTGTGCTTTACAGACACTGCAGTTTTTACAACTGAAGATTTGTGGCAACCCTGTGGTAAACAAGTCTACTAGTGCCATTTTTCCAACATTTGCTTCTTTCATTTGTGTCACATTTTGGTAATTCTCACACTATTTCAAACTTTTTCATTATTATATTTGTTATAGTTATCTGTGATCAGTAATTACAACTTGCTGAAAACTCAAGTAATGGTTAGCATTTCTTAGCAGTACATACATCGTTTAGACGTAACGTTACTGCACACTTAACATTAAGACTATGGTATGGTGTCAACTTTTATATACCCTGGGAAACTAAACAATTCATTTGACTCGCTTTATGATATTTGCTTTATTGAGTGGTTTGGAACCAACCTGCAGTATCTCCCAGGTGTGCCTAGAATTTCCCTTCCCATGTAGCTGCTGGAGTAATTAAAAACACAAATCAGATGTTGCTACTGCTGTTTACAAGCCCTCCACGTATCCATGCCCCATTTAAAGAATGAAAATCACGGTCCTAAGCAAGGTCTCATTTACAATAAATCTGTTAAACTTGTCAATTTCTAAAACTTAGTAGATACTTGAACATTTATGACAAATACTTCTCAAGACATAATCCTTACAACAGCAGTGAAAAGTTGTGAAATAGGGCCTTGCATTTGTTATTCCAAGTATTATTTATTCCTTATCGTAACTGTTACATATTAAAGTTAGATACTAGCTTTTTAAAGATGGGAGTTTAGTTTCATAGAAACCCAGGTATCAAGAGAAACTGCGTAAAATCCTATACATTTAAAGAGATGAATGCCCATGATTGAATTCTCATCAGACATCTTGAAAAATAACACATCTTGTTTCAAAAAAAAAAGTAACAAATAATTGGATACATAAACGAAAGACCCTGGAGTCTTCTAATTGACTCTTCAAAGCAGCACTAGTAACCGTTTTTCCGCAAAATTGTCTATACAAAAACATATACAATCACGTGCATTCATTAAAGGTACAAAGATAATGCTGTTTTACCACTTGGTTCGGTATGATGGAGTGCAGGTGGTGCGGGGTGCTCTACGGATACAGGACAGCAGTGGTGATTCTTACTGCTCAGGTGTTTGCAGGGTGGGGCACAGAGCAGAACAGCACCCTCCCACAGTCTGACAGCTGCATTCCCATGAGGGGACCTGCTAGTGAATGGCACCATCGCGGCTGCTACATGGGACAAGATGCCATCCAAAAGCTGGTACACCTCTACGAGCCCACAGGGAGCAGCATCAGTTTTCCAACCGTCAGCGTTTGCAAAATGGCAAAAAATAAAATGGTGAGAACAAACAGCAACAACCTTCATCTCCCTTGTCCACTCTCCCCCCGGCTGCTGGACATGGTGGGTGGGTTTCCCAAGAGCACTCTGTGTGCAGAGAGACTGGCCCGCTGTCATTTCAGGAAGTGTCCAGGGTGCCCAGCAGTGGTCACAGCACAGCTTACTCCGCCCTAAGATCTTAGATTCATCCTCTACTGTTCACGGACGTCACCGGCTGTGATGAAACACTTGAGGAGGTGGGAATGCAGCGCAAGGAGTAAAGCAGCTCTGTCTCCTCGCTATCCGGTCGCCTCCACACTAGTTTCCCACGCCCATCCCAGCTGGAAAGCCACGTCCTTACATTAATTCCCTGTGTGCATAGGGGTGTTTCCTGTATCAAAACCAAACGTAACTGTAGAAAAATCTTACATCAAGCATCCAGATATTTCATGCTTAAAGCAAAGTACGGAAAAAACACAAGTTTTGGAATCAGAACTAGTGTTCTGACCTCACCAGCCGTCCTAATTTTGGCCTCAGTTTTTGCACCCAAGAAACAGGGCGAACCAGTACAACACACAGGAAACCAAAGTTACAAATGTTAAAGACAGTCCAGCTTGTGATGAAATGTTTAGTTTAGAACTTAATCGCTGTTAAGAGCGAATACAGGGCCCTGGCAAGGATGTGCTTTTTCACTTCCAAGGAGAAATGAAATCCTGTGGCACTTTCCTTAAGTACAGGCTGTGCACCCAAGAGGGGGCCTGTTCTTCCTGAAGGACTGCCGGGACCCCTTATGATGACTCTGGACACTGGCTACCGTCTCCCACCTACTACTGCACTTGCACATGACGTCTTTTTACTCCCCCTTCACCTTGGGACTTGGCTGTTGCTCCTACTGCTCCTCTCTGTCGTCCACGGCCAACTAAGTCCCCTTCTGCTGCTGGCTGCTGAGGCCTGGGCTGGACATAGCCAGGCTGCTGACTCTACGGCGACATGCAAACAAACAGCATGCTTTTCATGTCAAAAGGTCACAGGTCAGAGGAAACAGTCTTCAACAAGTCTAAGACGTTCAAACAGAACTGACCTATGTTGGTAACCGAGGATTGTATTCCCATAAAGAAGTTTCTTCAAGAAGGGTCATTAACTGGGGGATGGGCATGAAGGAGGGCATGTGATGTGATGAGCACTGGGTGTGACACACAACTGATCAATCACTGAACTCTACCTCTGAAACTAATTCTACGCTATATGTTAATTGAATGTCAGTAAAATTTAAAAAAAAGAAGAGTCACTAACTAAAGACCCAGCTCTTCGGATGCTCAGGAAATAAAACATGATCATCCTTGTTCAGCCCCTATGTCCTTCAGAAGGCAGTTTTTAAACATATCTTCGACAGCCTAAGCTGATGAAGATGTAGCAGGTTTTTGTCTCTCGAGTGCACGCTGTGGAGGTGAAAGGCAGAGCACTCACCGCAGCGGCCCCCACGTGCTGCACCGTCTCCTGCCCACGGGCCCGTCCTCTGGCTCTTGCTCTGGCTCGCCCAGTCATTTTTTTTCCTCGAGGGGAAACAATTGTAAAGACAACACTCAACATACACAACTACGTTGGACAGTTTCTACAATGTTCCCTTTAGATGTACTGAGGATTCCACAGTAAGCTCCTGAATCGCACCCATTTTTCTAACCCTCTGCTAAGAGTTGAAGGCCATGTCCCTACCTTCAACAAACACAAGTCCTTACTGTGGACTGGGCAGTGTGCTGGGTGGCAGGGCTAAAGTGCAAGACTTGTTTTAATACAGACGTTCATTTTTTGTCGAATTACTATCTCAACCAGACTTTGGGAAAACTGTTAAGAGATGTCGGAGGGCCGGTGACTAGCTCTTTCACATGTGGGTATGTATCTATGAAACTGGGCCCGTGTTGCTAGTTTGAGGTCAGGCCCATTTCCCTAACTCTTCCACGTGCCCCCCGCATCCTCCTGAGTCCTCCCGCAGCGCCACATGCAGCTTACACACACCCAAACCTGTCTTCTACAGCACATCATATATGTCCCACAATTTCATTCTTGGTGAGCGGCACGACCACCCGCTGTGCCTCTAAAGGAAAAGGACAGAGTCCTTGCTCTCCCAAAGCCTCCTCTGTTGCTCATACTCCCCTGGACCCAACAGCGCTCTCCATCTCAACCCCACAGTGTAAGTGGCTGGGAGCCAGGGCCCATGTTGGGATCAGAGATATCACCATGCATAAAGTGGATGCACCCCGCCATGCCCCCCACAGAGCAGAAAGCCTTATCAACAGGTCACGCAGGGTGGAGACCTCAGAGCTAGTCTGCCCGAACCTGACTCCTTCACAGCAGGGACATAACCTGAGATTCACGTCTTTGTGAAACGGAGTTTTAATAACCTACCACACAGGTCCAGCATGTGGTTCAAGTAAGAACACACATGAAGGGCTTACAAAGTGCTTGGTGCACAGTGAGCATTCAACACATCTTAGCCCTAGTGGGAAAGGCGATAAAATTGTAACTACAAGTTTTTAAAAGTTTAATGACGGAAATAAGCAGAATGTTCTTACAGAAAAGCAAGCAGGAACTAATCTACCTACTGAAGTTGGCCTCCTGTGAAGCCACCACTTAAACAGAGATGTAAGAGATCAGGAAGCGGCAGGCGCATGGTACCAGGCTTCCAGAAAAGAGCGAAGTGTGGAGAGTGTGGCTTGCCTGTGGAGCTGAAAGATGCCCTGCGTGGCTGCAGCGTACTAAGGAAGGAGAGCTGGTGCATCAGAATGTGCAGGGCCTTGCAGCCAACAGGAAGGAGCTCGGATTCCACCTCCAATGTGATGAGAGACCACTGAAGGTTCTAAATACTGAGGCAGCCTGCGACATCATTTACATTTAAGATCACTCCACTTTAAGTCAGGTTTTCATCTTTTTTCAGTTTTCACAGCTTCTAAAATTCTTTGTTCGATGAGGACCTTCCTAGGGACAAATCTAAGGACATTCTCCAATAGTGAAAGACCTAGTTCGCTTCCTGTTATGTTCTACAGCATTAGAAGCAAACATGTGGACTCACCAAATCATAAAACCCTTCGCAGTCTGACTGACTCAGCAATTTCCAGAGTAGGTTACAGAATATGATCTGCTAACGTGCCAGCATATTAGAACTAATTTTTAATGCCATTTTAAAGTTGTGTGCATTTATACCGCCGTATTAGGACGATAGCCACACACACCTAGCTTGCACACGGGACCTGCTGGCGTACATGCTCGGGTCTCTTACCGATGGTGCGCAGAATGAGACTTTTCTCCCGCACATGGGCCACAGAAGTTCAAGACTCACCTCGCACCATGGGGACAGCCTTTGCTAACGGACCCCCCTCTCTTTCACCTGCATTACAGCAGCTCCCACACTGCACGGCGATCCCTTTCCCCCTCCCGCACACCTGCACACTAGGCTGCTAGTCGTAGTTTGGTCCTGTCACCCAGCCCGGCACTGGGCAGCCTCGCAGTAATGGTAAGTTTGGGTTGTTTTCTAAAGCAGTAATAAGCTGAACTGCCACCTCCAGTATCTTTACAGTGCAGTTCTCAAAACATGACTTCTCTCTAGTAACACCTGGAACTTGTTGGAAACACCAATTAGACAGAGGGGGGCCCCACTCCCGACCTAGCGAGTCCACAGTTCATCTCAGCAGGCCTCCAGGTGATTCTCCCATCACCCAAGACACCCAGGTAACCACACACAGGTGGGGTATGCAGGCCCTGAGTGGAGGGCTGTCCAGTATAGCTGTGGTTCCCAGCTGCATCCTTCCAACCTCGGGATATCCCCAGATGGACGACAAATTACACAGTCACCTGAAGTAAGACTCAGGTGGTGCTTACCATCATCCCAGCTACAAAAGACATCCGTTCAAACTGCTGTCCACCCAGGGAGCTATGCCGCCCAGCACCCACCCCCGCAGCCTGGAGGCCCCAGGGCAACCAGGCAGGCTCACGGCCCCCCCCCAACCTGGACAGTGCCCCTCTCCTGACCCTGGGCAGTGTCGGGGAATGCCCTCTGACCCACGCAGTGCCACCCCAACCCAGGCAGTGCCCACGAATGCCCCGACCCTTAGCAGTGTCCAGGAATGACCTCACCCCCAACCCAGACAGTGCTCCCCAAACCGGGTAATGCCCCCCCAACCCTTGTACTGTCCAGGAATGACCCCTTCGACCAAGACAGTGCCCCTCGAACTGAGTAATGCCCCCAACCCTGAGCAGTATCCAGGAATGCCCCCCGACTGACAGTAACCCCCCAAACCCCAGCAACGTCCCAGAACGCCCCCCAACCTTGGAGGGGGCCCCCCTCCGACCCCGGCAGCGCCCCCCACCGCAGGGCTGCTCCCTCACAGCCCGCGACGCCCCTCCAATGGCACCCGGTCCCCCAGGCGCCCCGCCTCACCAGGCCCACAGCTGCAACCACCGGGAAGCCCACGCACCCGACCGCCGCAACCCTGAATCGCCGGAGCACCCCGCCGCCGCCGCCCCCCTCACGGCCGCCGCGCCGCCAACCGTTACCCACGCAGGATCCCTCCGCGCCGGGACTTCGCGCCCCGACGCCCACCCAACGAGCTGCGCCGCTCGCCGTCACTTCACGGTCAGCCGCGGCTCCCTCCCACTCGTGGGCTGTCGCGGGCGCGGACGCCGGCGGAAGGAGCATGGCGTTCCTTTCCTAGGCGGAAGGACACCTGCGCCTGGCGGTGAACGCGTCCGCACGTGACCCCCGGCTAACGGCGCGGCGAGGACGTGCGCGCGCTGCGCCCTGATTGGCCGGCATGCGCATGGCGGTTTGGGGGGGGTGGGGTGGGGGACGGGGCGGGGCCAGATGAGCCCCGCCCACGCCCCGCCCAGGCCTCGTGCAGTGCCCTGAGGCAGGCGCTGGCCTGGTTCCCAGCTCGCGAGCAGCGCAGTGCAAGGTGTAGGGCCTGGGTCAGTTGTGAGAGTGGGACCGGGCGCAGAACAGCGGACTGAACCTTGGGTGGCCCCTTCGAATTAGAAGCTATTTAGCTCATCAAACAGAGAAATGAGATTGGAATTTTGCCCCCAAGTAAATAAAGTGCATTGTAGAGCCAGAGTGGCGGGGGGCTGTGCACTTGCCCATTTAAGTGTGCACAAACGGCGTGCGGAGTGCATGCGCGTGGACGTGCACGGCAGCGGTCGTCAGCCTTACCTGCATCATCACCTGGGGGGCTGGTTAAAGCAGGGACGGCTCCGCCCCCTCCCCTAGGGATTCTGATTCGGCAGGTTCAGTTGGCCGGTCCGCTAATCACCATCTCTTGACAATTTGCTGGTGATGCTGGCTCAGCTGCTCCCGGGTCCACCTTGATACGAGGGAATTAGATGCCTTCAATAGGAATTTGTTTCGTCGTTGGGCAAACCCAACACAATTAAAACTATTGTAAACATCGTAAAATAGGACGACAGTTATTCGTCAGGCTGGGAAATGGGGCTCCTTATGTAGCTAGTTATGTCCAGTAATAATTCAATAGTTTCTTAAGGATGGAGTGTAGGGGGTTAGTGGCGATACAGTTATAAAGAGGGGGTTGTCTTAAAGCCGCATTTAAACCCAGACATTATATTTTATTAATACTGAAGCGTGTATTCAGGGGGCTTGGGGTTGGACGGGGCGCAAGGTTTCCCAAGCCATCTCCCCAAGTCGGCGGTCTCTGGGGGTGGAAGGGAACAGGCTGGATTTCAGGGTTTACCGCACTCACTTGATTGTAAAAGCCCAGAAGGGGGAACTTCTGAAAAACACATTCCCCGGTAATCCTGATTCAAGAGGTTTGGGATAAGAGCAAAGAATTTTAAGAAGAGTCACCAGGTGCTTTTTATGCCTAGAGAATTTTGAGAAATTTAAGACAAGATCTGTGATCTTGACATCAGACACACTTAAAGAAAGGATTTATGTGAAAGGGGAGACACCCAATTAGGTTTTTTGGGGAGTGGGGATGGCTTCACTTTTTAAAAAAATGCACCATTTGAAATGATACAATACAAACCTTCACTTTTCTAGGAAGGGATTTAAGATGTTGGTGAGAAAGATGTTCTGTGATCTTGCCAGCAGATGGAGCAACAAAACAAGAAATAAGTCTTCAGCTTCAACTGGGTGCAGGGGAGAGAAATACCAGGAATGCACCTTACAGGGAAGAGGTAACCTGTTTGCCTGTTTCTCTTCTCCATGTGCCTAAACTCCTTGGAACCGCTACAGGCACACCATCCCTGGAGCATCTGGGTGGGTGCATTGTCTGAAATGGGTGGTTTCTAAAGACATAGGAAGTTGTGATACAGCAAGACGGAGGCAAACCCCTCGTTCTTCTGATGGTGCAAACAGTACACCTCATAAAGCTCACCAAAAATTTCAAAAGAAAAGCTGCAGAGAGAAATTGGGGAAACTTTTTTTTTTTTAAGTTTCTATATCTACAGCATGACATAGTGGTGCCAGTTACTGGATACAACTATGCGCCTAGTGCTGGAAACTGAAAAGTGCATGGATGTCGATTCTCCTTCCAGGAGCT